CCAAAGCTTTTAAAAGGTCGGAGACTGACTGGAACTGGCCACAACCGGCCTTACGGCTAAAGTTAATTCCCCAGGTGCCTTTCTGGCAATCACCCTCATCCCCTCCAGACCTTCAACCCCACGAAGCAGAATCCAGCCATGAACGCCTGCACCTCTGCTTGCAGCGCACCGCAATCCGAGCATGTCTCCGCAGGCGAGCAGAGGATATTGATGAGCACAGGCGGTGACTGAATGCGAGTCCCTGTGGCAGGAGCTCCGGAGGTTCGGGAGAAGGAGCTTGAGGAGCAAGGGGGGAGACGGGGCACCCAGCACTCAGGGCCGCACTCAGGCCCCCACTTGTAGCCCTAAAAGGCCCACTTGTACAGAGATATTCTAAAGCGCTCACATCTCAAACGCTGGAGCCGTTGAAAGAAACCACCGTGCCACCCTGCCACCTTCCCGAAGTGTTGAACCTCATGTATGTGGGATTGTTGATCGAGTTTTTGGTGGAACTTTGGGAGGGCAGCCTCCTGACTTGTAGGGCCTGCTCGGAAAGAAGGACCTGAACAGTGTGCTGGTGCAGCCTACCGAGATGCTGGTCCGCCTCAAGCAGCAGCAGGCAGGGAGCAGATTCAGTGGAGTCTCTTGAGTTTAGGTGGAAAATTGGAAACAAGAATTGCGTCACAAGCCGAAGCAACAAGCTTTGGCTGGGTCTGCCACAGTGCCCTTTTGCACCTCAGATCCGATGTTTCCTTGGCATTTTCTACAGCCCAGGCGACTGTCCAGGTCGCACTTTGGGAGCTGGAGCAACTCGGCACGTGGATTGAACCACTGTGCTTGCATCTGCTGCTGCGCTCCTAACCTGATCTGATCTGTAGAGGCGTCAATCAGTCGGTTCGTAGCCGGAACAGGCAGGTTTCAATGCTGCCCGTGCGGGTTCTCGGTTAAGGCTTAGGGTTTGTGGGTTGGTTTCGGACAAGAGTCGCCAGGTCGAGCCGGCGGCTGTAGTTTCGGAATCCAGCGTTGAGGTGGAATTGTCGCATGTCACAAGTGTCAGCAGTCAAATGGAGGCGTGTCGGGTCGCAATCCGCGTCGGTGTTGTCGTTGTTGAATCCTCAAAAAATCCTCATGCTGTCTTCGGATGTCAAAAGTGCTGGATCAGGCGTGCGTCCGGGTAATAAACCTTGCAGTCGCTGTCTTCAAGTTGGGAAAGCGCTGGCATTGCAGGTCGTGCTTCGTTGTCTCTTCTCACGTCTTTGTCGTAGAGTCGTGTCGTGCCATCTCGTTTCTTTGCGGTCGTGTCCACATTCCGCATCTGGGCGGGTGTCCTCAACTGCGACCAGACTCGTCACACATGTCCGCATTCGGGATCGTGGCGCCTGTCCGGAGCTTCTCCGTGAGTGTGTGTGTGTGTGTGTGTGTGTTTTGCTTGCTTTCTTGTTCATTTGCTTGCTTGCTTGTTTGTGCGTACGTGGCGTCAGCGTGTGTGCGCGCGCACAGAGAGCAAGCGTTTCCCCACCACTCGCTGCCAAGTGTCGAAGGCAAAGCCTCATGAAGTCGCAGCAAGACCTGGCCGCTTCTCTGGCACACGGCCACCCGCTTCAGAAGGAGTTGACCAAGGCAACGATGCTGCGTTTCAGCGGGTGTTATGCCATTTTATGTATTGTTGTGGGATTAATGATACCGAACCTTTCCAAGCAGAGCCGGGTTGCGGGTTGCCGTTGGCGGCACATGAAGTTTGGTTGTGTATTCAATGTTCAGATTGACCCGAACCCCCCCGCACCTTACCCACGAAAGCGGTTATGAACCCTCGTGAACCAGGGCCGATGTCCTCGACGTTCCATGAGACCCTCATCCCCTGAACCCTGACCGTCCCAAGTTCGAGGCCCGCATAATTATCCCGCAGGAAGATGCGGGCCCCGACCAGGAGCTCACATTTTCCGAGGCGCACTTTTGTCCCTGACATTTGCCTTGGCAAGGTCGCAACCGAGTGCTTATCTGGAAGATGCGGTTGAGCCAATGGTTCTTGAATCATGTTCGAACCATGTAATCATGAATCATGTCTCCCATGCTACGCAATGTGGTTGCGGTTTCTCTCATTCAGGCGTTCTGCGACGTTGGCAGGCCTAGGAATGTTGGCTCATGAGCCCATTGTAGTGCCAGGTTGTTCCATCTGCAACATACGCGGCGTCGCCTCCTACGGCCATGACACGTTCACAGGACTGAAGCCTACTTGGACCTAAGAACCCTTGGCCACTTCCCGCAACGTGAGGCCCTGAGATGTGTAGGACCCCAATCTAAAACAGCTGCAAATTGGGCAGGCTTTGCCGCGACACACCACACAGGACCGACACGGGGCAAGGGTGTGCGGAACAGCAAGAAGCCTTTTTGGCTCAGGAAGATTTTCGTTAACTTGGTGAGGGCCTAGCCCAGCACTGCAAGAGAAGCCATTGCAAAAGGACTCCACATCTCGGATAGCGGATAGCCGCAAAAAAGGATCAGAGTGAACCTTTCTTTTGCCGTGGGACAACATTTACTCCTTCTGGGGCTTCCCGTTCGGAGGACGCCCTCGACCAAGTTTTCGAAGCGCAGTCTGAGTGGCATGTCTGGAAGGGTACTGGTGCAAGGGTTCAGGGGTGCGGGGACCTGAGCAGTGAATGCCTACTGGATGTTTAGGAGTATTTTTTTTTTGCGGGGCGTTTGGGGTTGATCAGCTCTTTTCCCGAAATGACGAAGACGTGAACTAGGCCCGACTTGAATGCGACCAGCTTCGGCCTCCTGGACAAGCTTCGCAAACATAACCGGAGAACGTCCATCCACCAGCTGCCACCCTTATCTGAGGCTGTGGCTTTGTGGAATAGGTTGGAGGTTGTCAGGAGGCTTTGCTAGGGTCTTGTATGGAAGCAGACGGCCGAAATATCCGGAGGCGCAGCGCAAAGAGGACGCAGAGACACGCACATGCACACACACGCAGAGACATATGTATAAATATATATATGTATATATATATGTCTGTATGTATGTATGTATGCATGCATGTATGTATGTATGTATGTATGTATGTATGTATGTATGTATACATGTACATGTACATGTACATGTACATGTACATGTACATGTATATGTATATGTATATGTATATGTATGTGTATGTGTATGTGTACGTGTATGTGTACGTGTATGTATACATGTATATGCATATGCATATGAATATGTATATGTCTATGTGTATGTCTATGTCTATGTCTATGTCTATGTCTATGTCTATGTCTATGTCTGTGTCTATGTCTATGTCTATGTCCATGTCTATGTATATGTATGTGTGTGTATGTGTATGTGTGTATGTATATGTTTATGTATATATATATATATATATATATATCTATATATATAATTCTGAAGGCCTTGCGGCACGGGCCGGCCTGGCCGTCTGAAAGCTGAAACTCGGGTTTGGGTTTAGGGGTTTAGGGGGCGCAGGGAGTCGGGACGTAATAAGTAAAGAAAGAAGAAGAACAAAGAAGAAGAAGAAGAAGAAGAAGAAGAAGAAGAAGAAGAAGAAGAAGAAGAAGAAGAAGAGAAAGAAAAAGAAGAATACAAAGAAGAAGAAGAAGAAAAAAAGAAAGAAAAAGAGAAGAAGAAGAAGCGAAAGAAGAAGAAAAATAAGAAGAAGAAATGAAAGAATAAAAGAAGAAGAAGAAGAAAAGAACGAAGAAGAAACAGAAGAAGAAGAAGAATAAGAAGAAGAAGAAAAGAAAGAAGAAGAAACAGAAGAAGAAGAATAAGAAGAAGAAGAAGAAAAGAAAGAAGAAGAAAAAGAAGAATAATAAGAATAAAAGAAATCAGAAGAAACAGAAAATAAGAAAATAAAGAAGAAGAAAAAGAAATAATAATACCAATAATAAGAAGGAGAAGAAAAAGAACAAGAAGAAAACAAGGAAGAACAAGACAAAGAAGAATAAACATATGAAAAAGAAAAAGAGGAAAATAAAGAATTAAGAGGAGAAAAGAAATAATAAGAAAAGAAAGAGGAAGAACAAGAAGAAAAGGAAGAATAAAAGAAAGAAAAACAGAAAGAGGAAGTAAAACAAGAAGAAAAGAAGCAAGAAAAGAAAGAATAAGGAAAAGAATAAAAATAGTGAACAGGAAGCAGAAGAGAAGAAAGAACAGGAAGCGACATCCGAAACCCTATATAAAATCCTCTGCGTGCGTGCGCGTGCACGTGCACGTGCACGTGCGCGTGCGCGTGCGCGTGCGCGTGCGCGTAACCACCGACACAAACACCAACTCGAACTCAAACAGCAACACAAGCACAAGCACACAAGCACACAAGCACACAAGCACACAAGCGCACAAGCGCACAAGCGCACAAGCGCACAAGCGCACAAGCGCACAAGCGCACAAGCGCACAAGCGCACAAGAGCACCAGCGCACAAGCGCACAAGCGCACAAGCGCACAACCGCACAAGCGCACAGGCGCACAGGCGCACAGGCGCACAGGCGCACAGGCGCACAGGCGCACAGGCGCACAGGCGCACAGGCGCACAGGCGCACAGGCGCACAGGCGCACAGGTGCACAGGCGCACAGGCGCACAGGCGCACAGGCGCACAGGCGCACAGGCGCACAGGCGCACAGGCGCACAGGCGCACAGGCGCACAGGCGCACAGGCGCACAGGCGCACAGGCGCACAGGCGCACAGGCGCACAGGCGCACAGGCGCACAGGCGCACAGGCGCACAGCGCACAGGCGCACAGGCGCACGCAGGCGCAGCGCACAGGCGCACAGGCGCACAGGCGCACAGGCGCACAGGCGCACAAGCGCACAAGCGCACAAGCGCAAGTGAAAAAGCAAGTGAAAAGGCACAGGAAAAAACACAAACACAAACACCGTGTTCACAGTTGTAATGGTGTGTCGTGGTACCCATGTATTGTTGTCGTTGTGCTCTCGCTAATGACATTTTTTTCCAGCCTTAACCCCACACTTGCCGCAGGGACTCTGGCCATTTGTCCTGGTGGCGTGCAAGATGGTCGTCAGCAGCCGCTGGTTCGAATGTGCCATTTCTCTTGTCATCGTGGCCAATTCGGCGCTGCGTCTCGGAAGCCTTAATGGTCATGAACTCATTCGCAAGTTCACAGCATTGCGGGTAAGGGCATCTTGTGTTCGATTTCGTCCAGGATCGGGGTGGAGAGCCAGCTTGCCCTGGACAACCAGGGAATCCAGTGGGCAAACAGAGCGGAGTTCGTTTTCCTTGCCATCTACAGCGTCGAAATTGTCATCCGTGCGATCGTGCTGCGGTTGAACGCGTTTAGTGTCTCGGCATGAATGTTTGAAGTTGAAGGGCTTGGCTTGGAACTGCAGCTTGAGAGCGCAAGGTGTTGGACCCGGACCTGGATCAACGTCAGTTCCGAGAAACTACTGGTTCCAAAATGCTCTTCCCAAGAGACCTCGCGGGTTGTTTCCGGCGTTTGGAACGATATGCCACATTGAGTGGAAGTGCTTACCAGCTCCAAGCACAACAACCAGATGATGTTCCAAGCTCATCCAACCACGAAGAGCCCACCCGACCCCCCAGCCTTCCCGGTAACAGCAACACGAAACACTTGGTTGTCTGCCGAAATTAAAAACTGTGGCCTGGGAATCTGAAGTTTCGGCTTAACAAGTTTAAACATCTTTTCCATGTTTAAGAATGTGTGGCTTTGCGAACTTCCTTTAACTTCTTGCAGCACTTGCCATTGAACTAAACAACCCCCCCCCCCCCCCCACACGACCACCACTGCCCCCAACCACCCAAAACAACCAAGACTCAAATGAGTGGAGGTGCTTCACCTGCGTACAGGTTGGACAGGAAACATCGGCTTTGCCTGCTACCAGTAGCTTGCTTAGCTCACCAGAACATAAACAATGCCTGACATCATATGTAGCCTGCGACAACAGGCAGAGGCTTGTTAAGGGGCATGGAGGAATCAAATCTTGTTGTTGATGATCACGGCGTCGAGTGCCCGTCAGAGCGCGACTTCCGGAGGCGATGGCTGGTTTATCTTCGATCTCGTGCTCCTCGTCAGCTCCCTGGTGGAGCAGGTCGTGTCCTTGTCCACCGGCGAGGCCGACCAGCTACTCGCCGTGCCATCTCTGTTCCATCCTTCAGGCACATTCTGTCACATTCTCACTTGTTGTCGGTTATCCCTGGCAGCCTGGCGGTCTGCAGTGGCAGCTGCTTCCAAACATGGGCTGTCCTGAAAGTGCAGGCGTCCACCCTCAACATCCCTCAGTCATCCAATTTCGCATTGCATTCAATGGCTTGATACTTCTCGAGCATGTTAAGAAGAAACACTGTAAAGGGGTACGCAATGACATGCACAAGCCAGAACTTCGAGCTGAGGCAGATCATGATCCTGCGGCTGCTGCGGCTGTTTCGGCTCGTCCGGACATTCCGGATGATCCACGGCTTCCTCAGCTGTGGTTTAAGGAAGACCAAGTCACCCAAAACGAGACCATTCGTGCAGTAAACTCTTACGGCATGGAGCGACTTAGGATCAAGCAGATCCGATCTGTGTGGCGGCTGGCGCCTAGCTTGCTTTGTGACGGGCTTGTGAAGGAACTTGGTGTTGAAACTACAACATCTTAAGCTCGCAGTTTTGTCCACACCGACGATGCAAGACAACTGACCAAAATGCCATCACATGTCCTGAGCCGCGAGTCCCATAGCTGACCTCCAACTATGTTAGTGGAGGCAAATCTGGGAGGAGAAGGTGAGCAGCAAATGTATGTTCATTCGTGGCTTGAGGGGATTTCAGTTTTGTCTTGCCGGCTCAAGGTATATGGGCTCATGAACTCCAGCGAAACCATGATCTCGGCCTTCACCTTGCTGGCCCTCGTCTTGTACGTCTTCGGGGTCCTGGGGTTGAAGGCAGGGCTCCTGTCATGTGTGCATACAGCTGCATACACCTGCATGTGCAGAAGCACGTGTCTTGATCTGTCTTGTTCTTCAAGAGTCCTACTCGGACGATGTGCATTGGGCCCAAGGGACAGCAAGTGTCCTACTGAAGCGGGGTTTCCGGCTGGCAGAACGAGGCTTTCAGCCGTAAACAATCGATGGAGTGCCCGTCTTCTGTGGCTGGTGCGTTTGTTGAAGGCAGATCAGACTCAGGTTCATAGAGCCTCCTGATGGAGGCAACCCCCTTCAGAGGGTTTCAGACGATCGTTGCAACTTCTACGAATTGCATGGGAAGCTAGGGCCTACAGCGATCTCAAAGCTTCCTGCTGGGTCCTGTTGTCAATGGTACCGCCAGCGAAGGTCGGTGGTTGCCTGTGGTACTTGTTTTGGTGCCCTGAACTCTTGATGCCGCTATCCGCTCCAGGGCATCGTGCCTGGATGGGTGGTGTTCTGCTTGCGGCCATTCGGCTTTGTGGCTTCTGTCAGAATCTTCGCGCTCCCTGCAGTAGCATGTCCCAGCCTCATACTTGCTCTTGCCAAAAATCTTCACTGGCCAAGCCCTGTTCATTTCCCTTCCTTGCCTCACTTTGCGCTTCCTTCGCGCTCGCTGTGTTAGTTTTACCTTGGCTCGGACAATTTCTGTGCCACCAGATGCGCTCCTTCGCCCTCAGCACAGCCCACGGAAGAAAGAAATGGCGGTGCCCTTGTTTGGTTATGAAGCTGGGCTTGTGTGGGTTAAATTCATGTACTGAAACTGGTGTATCTTGCATGGCTTCCGTCGACTGTTTCGTTTGTGCGTTACCAAAATCTCCAACATGACTATAATCTTTTCAGATATGTGCTTTGATGCACGCTGCGTGTCGGGCATAGGGGTTTGGTGCGACCACTGAAAATGTTTGCGCAGCCGCATAACTTCCTGCAAGCCTTGGGGCCATATGTTTCCAATTTCTGGTTGTCATATCACGTCAGACAGCATGGCGAGAACTTGCCCGCAGCTTGCTCCAGGTCATCAGCTCAGATCCTGCTCTCCTAGCCGACCCAGCCACTGGACTTTTGCATTGAATGCAAAATACGTGCGCCTCCTGCGGCCTGCTCACAAACCCCAAGATATCACTTAGGATAGTTACCACCAATTGCAGCAGTGGTCGAAAGTCTGCACTGCGAGGTCACGGCCTTCATCCTCGAGGATCGTTTCAGCTCCTTGGGCGTGACTATGATGACGCTACTCGTGCGCAGCATGAGCAAACCTGTCTGTACGATGGTTGTATGAACCCAGAGCTGATGTACAACCAAAGGCAACCGACAAGCCAATTCTTATTGCCAGATTCCAGTAGAGGCACCTTTGGCCCAGGGATCTTCAGTGGTCAAATTAACGTTCCCAACGCTACTAAACCCGTGACCCCAAACCCATGCCCCAAGCCCCAAAGCTCGCAAACCCTAACCCCTCCATTCCTGACCCCTACCCGAGCCAACAACCACAACAGCAGGGGAGGGGTGGGGGTGGGGGGGATTGAAGAGGGGCGCTGCCCTACTTCCCAGCAAGGCTCACGCAGTTCGTGACGGTGGACTCCATCGCCGCCATCTATCTGCCGCTAATCCGGCGGAACCCCTGGCTGATCCTCTATTTCACGATGCTTATCTTGGTCATTTCCATATCGCTCATGAACCTCGCAGCCCGGTCCACAAGCACTTGGCGTGTAAATGTATAATTGTAGCCATACGCACCAGGCGCCCAGGGCCTAGGTACATCCTGCATGTGAAAAGGCCGTGGGGCCAGCCGTGAGGGGACGGGGGAGATGATAGGGTATAGTTGCAGTGATGAGCCGATTCTCTATAAACCCGAACCGCGCGCTGGACACATTGAGATAACTCAGCTGTGTCGTAAGAGCCACACAATTTTGAGGTTGAGCTGGGATGGTCGATGTTTTCTCTTCGTAGTCGAAGACAGGGAGACACCAGCAGTGAGGACGTCAGCAGCTTCTTTTGTTGCACGCCTCATCTGGCTTGGGTCAGGAAATGTAGGACATGCGGCTTGTTGATAAAGCCAAGAACCATCACAGCAACGACGCGGCTCTTCGACCTCGGGAACCGACATCTCTCTCCCTCTCTCTCTCTCTCTTCCCCCTCTTCTGGCGTTCACTACTTGTAGTGGGTGTTGGGCACGTGCAGGTGACGTTTCAAGGGTTCCTGCACGCCAACTACATATATGCATCGCTGAGGTAACGGCCGTGCTGGTTGAAGCCGCCTTGGAGCATGCCCGCCAAGAGAAGGAGGAAGAGCAAAAATTGGCAAACATCTCTGCGAAGCCCCTTGTTTTCGTTTAGGGGCTCTGCTTTCAAGAGGGGCCCTCTTGGTGTTTGCTTTTGGCACAGATCGTCTAAGGCACATGCTCCCAGAGATCATCAATCTGTTCGATGCCGTTGATGCGGACTGCAGCGGCTACCTTGTGATCGAGGAGCGAAGACCTCTTGCTCGAAACAGTATCCCTTGCATCCGACGCCCCCCCGCCTCCCCAAACTCACACAGACCTCTTGCAAACCCGGCCAAGACCTCGCAACCTCCTCCCCCAAGGCCCTTGCCCAAGCCTCGGACCAGGAGATGAGCCGCTTCGAAGAGGAGGGCCTGGTCCCGGCCGAGACTCTGCTTTGCAAGGGCCTTTTTTGTTTTAAGGGAGTTTGGACCTCCTTTTTCTTTGCAAGCTGCAAGCGTTCGAGTTCTCCGTGAGGGGTCGATGGATGGGCTTGGCTTGAGGTTACTCGGAGTTACCCGGTTCCCGAGTAGCTGCCGGTTCCCGAGTAGCTGCCGAGCAGTTCAGGATGTGAGGCTTCAGGTTGCAGACCATCGCGCTAGGCCGTCAGGCTGTTTTGCATGGCTGCTGCCATCCTGCGATTGCCTTGGCAATGTTGCGTTCTCGTTGCTTCGCGAAGGCTTCTTGGGAAGCTGCGGTACAGATGCACTAAATACGCCGACTAGTTGCAGAGTAGGGTACAGGCTGCAGGTGTCCGGTGCGACATTTGAAGTGCAAGTTTGGAGAGGAGAGGGTTGGATCGAACCCATTGGACCTGGCCGAAAAATCCACCAGGAAAAGCGGTCGTGGGAGTTACCAGCGGGTAGGCTGTCAAGTGCCGGTGAGGGGCCTTGACTGGTTTAAGACCACCCCGAAATCCGCTGCGCCCGTGCGCAGATTGAAATTTTTGGTCGATGAAGAGGCCTAATGTTGACTTCGCATTAATAAACCCCCCCCCCTTCATTGATCAATCTCTCCGGCCAGGGCCTCCTCAATAATATCCGCCTAAATCCTGGTAGGTCTAGCTGTCCCGGTGCCACCACAGTGGGCTAAGTGAGCCTCTACTGCGAGCTTCTGGGGGATCACTTTTAGAAGAATATTCCGGGCTGGATTTTATAATTGTGGCGGGCTACATTATTGTGTTCTGGCAGCTGGATTTTACAATTGCGGCGGGAATTCCTAATGTGAAGTCAACATTATGTATGTCAAAGTTCAAGCCCCCCACCACCCCACCCAACAGCAAAACCCAACCAAAGCCTACAGCCCAGGAACTCTTGGATCGTGCTTCAGTGGACTCCATGCAGCTCAGCTCGAAATTCGAAATGTAGCGTGCCGTGTCGTTTTGCGAGCATGTTTTGCCTTTGCATCCTCCAAATGTTGCATTAGGCTAAGTGTACTCGCAAACGTTAATTCACAAGGATCTGGAAGATAGAAAGCTTCACGAGGCCACATTCCTAAAGTTGGACAAGATAATGAATGAAAAGATGTCCAGCGAAAGCCACACCGAAGGTGAAGGCTGCTTCCAATCATAGCCACAAGCCCTCTTCTGGCGGCCCATAGGGGAGGTTGCAACCCAGACCTGTACCACAGCTCCCAAGCACATACTTGGAGCAGCCCAGGAGCGAACTTTTTCACCAGCTGGACATCGACGAGTCCGGGAAGGTTCGGAGCTGGCTTTAGCTGTTGACATAATTTGTTTCTCGAGTGCCCGTCAGGCTCTGCAAGAGGGAGAGGGCAGATCTGTGCAGCAGCTCCATACTTGCGGCGTGTCAGTTTTACGTCGTGAATTCGGAGTGCCACGATACTTCGCACAGCCGGGCAAGATATCATACTCAAAGTGCTGATGCTTCCTATTCATGGGACGTTGCATGCGGCTGACAATTTACAAAGCAGCGGCCAATCCAGTAGGTTGCTGAAACTGTTTCCACTCCCTTGCCAGGGTGGGGGCATCTTTGCTCACAAGCGGAGTGTTACTCTGCACACGGTACCTTTTCTGGAAGCGTGCAAATTTGTTTCCGAAACATGCCTCTTTAAACTGATCCTTGGGTGTTTTCAGCGGTGTTGCACCTCCTTCATTCAAACTTCCCTTGTCGATTTCTTGAAACGGTCACGCATAGTTTATGTATTGTTGAACAACTCTTTTTTGTATACTCGTCATTTACACTTTTCCCTTGAGTTTCTAGAAGCCGCACACCGCAAAAGTACACAGCCTTGCTCTGTCTGAGCTGGGCGGGCTTCTGAAACCCTTTGCAGCAATCTCCGAGTTTTTCCCACGGTCAAGGTACTATCAAGGTTAAATGTGACCTGCGACCCCCGTCCGCGGCGAGTGCGGATGAGTGGGCGCTGCCAGAGTCGAGTTCGTCGTCGTATGTGACGCAGGTGAATCGCGAGGAGTTCATCGAGGGTCTTTTGGACATCTTCCTCAGAGAGGTGCAATAGCTACAATGCATTGTAACATGCGATGAAGGACAGCAGGTTGGCTGAGGCAGTGGAGGAACTGGTAAAAGCTGTTTTAGGCCCACTGCATGCTGCAAGGTTCCGATCTACTCCCTCCAAATGATGAAGATGCTGCGCCTCATTCGGGAATCACAGGTGAAGACGCAGGCTGCTCATCTTTGCGCAAATGGGCTAAAAGCTGAATGGTCTTTAATCTCGAGATTGGGGTTGAAGTAGGTCCATGCGGGCTTGATATGGTGTCGCAATCTCTTCATTCGGGTTGCTAGGAACCTTTTGATGCCCTTTTCGTGTCTTCTCATCGACTTGGGAAGGCTCACATTGATGTTGTTTGGCTTTTTTGTTGTTTCGACCTCCTTTGGTTTCATGTTGTGTTGCTTGAGAGAAAAGACGTGGCCATGTTCGGGGCGGGGCCAGTGTGCCAGAAGGCAAATGTCAGGAAGAAGTGGAGGAGCATTGTAAAGGAGTGATTTGGTCCCCCGCTTCCGCCAAGCCAAAACGGGAACAAGAAGAAGCAGAGCCTCGCATCAAGACCATAAGAACAGCGAAAACCATAGACCCTCCAAACCAAAGGCATGCGCTCTGGGCGGGGCAAGCCGCAGCATGCGCCTGTAAAGTGCCGAACAAACACGGATTCAGAAACTACCCCCGATTCAGAAACTACGGTTCAGAAACTATTTCGTCCGATTCAGAAACTACTTGGTCCGGTTCAGAAACTGCGGTTCAGCAACTATTCTCTCGGATTCAGAAACTATTTCGAACCGATTCAGAAACTGTTTGCTCAGATTCAGGAAACTCCCGCGATTCAGAAACTACGGTTCAGAAACTATTCCGTGCGATTCAGAAACTATTCCGCGCGATTCAGGAACTATTTTCAACCGATTCAGAAACTATTCCGCGAGATTCCGAAACTATTTTGCGCCGATAAATCACACCCCCCTCATTTGTCCTCACACCTCGACTTTCAACTCTTCTCTCAGAGATATTTCTAAATCCCACCCCCTCTCATTAGTACTCACACTTCGACATTCAACTCTACTCTCAATTATACTAAATCTCAGCCCCCTCATTTCACCTCTCACCTCACTCATTTCTCCCCACACTTCGAGTTTCAATTCTTCTCTCCGGATTATGTTAAATCACACCCCCTTCATTTGTCCTCACACCTCTCAACTCTTTTTCAGAGATATTTCTAAATCCCCCCCCCCCCCCCCTCATTTGTACTCACACTTCGACATTCAACTCTACTCTCAATTATGGTAAATCTCACCCCCACTCATTTGTACTCACACCTTGACTTTCAACTCTTCTCTCAGAGATATTTCTAAATCCCACACTCACACCTCAACTTTCAACTCTTCTCTCAGAGATGTTTTTGAAGTCCCACCCCCCCTCATTTGTACTCACACTTCAACATTCAACTCTACTGTCAAATATGTTAAATCTCACCCCCCTCATTTCTCCTCTCACCTCACTCATTTCTCCCCACACTTCGAGTTTCTATTCTTCTCTCCGGTTTATTTTAAATCACACCCCCCTCATTTGTTCACACACCTCGACCTTCAACTCTTCTCTCAGAGATATTTCTAAATCCCACCCCCCCTCATTTGTACTCACACGTCGACATTCAACTCTACTCTCAATTCCCCTAAATCCCCAACAAGTTTCCTTGACCAGGACACGTGGACGTGCGACAACCCGAACATCATCATGCTGTCCTGCAGGGTTGTGGGTTTCGGGGTTTGGGAATTAGGGGTCTCCAATCCGCGCTTCCAGTTTCCCAGTTTCCGAATCCGCGCGTTCAGTTTCTGAATCCTTTTTTGTTGGTTTCCGAATCCGCGCTTTCAGTTTTCGAATCCGTCTTTTTCGATTTCTGAATCCGCGCTTCCAAGTTTCCGAATATGTGTTTTCCAGTTTCCGAATCCGCGCTTCCAGTTTCCGAATATGTGTTTTCCAGTTTCCGAATCCGCGCGTCAAGTTTCCGAATCCTGGTTTCCGAATCACTGCTCGGCAGTTTCCGAATCCGCGTGTTTAGTTTCCGAATCCGCGCTTGCAGTTTCCGAATCCGCGTTTTTCAGTTTCCGAATCCGCGTTTTTAGTTTCCGAATCCGCGCTTTTAGTTTCCGAATCCGCGCTTTTAGTTTCCGAATCCGCGCGCGACCTAAAGTGCCTGTAACATGGTCAATAACTTCACACGCCCGTCGGTAGTGATATGTCTGGCTCGCGGGTCTCTTCATACGTCGTTGAAGCGGGGATTCTGGAAAGCTTTGACGAGAAGGAGGTTTTTGGCGTGAGTGGCGTGTTCATACCATTGACAAGTATTAATGTGCTTTGGGCAGGTCAGCGCTTGGTAGCTCGACAGTGTTCTTCCAAGCTAACAACTTTCAGCAAAAGGACTGCCAATTCGTTCTCCCGATGCTAGAACATGTGGGGAAAACAAGCCCTTGAGGCTGACGTGGTGGATCTCCGAGCCTTGCTGGAGAAGCTGGGGAGCTTCGGAGTTTAGGGTCACGGCTTCAACTTTTCGCGAAGTTTCGAGACTGCACTACACTAGTAGGTTGCACTCACGTGGGCGTGTTGCTCAGAGCATGGAGGAGCTCGCCTAAAACTGGCAGAGCCAAAGCCCGGGCTAGTGCCCAACACCCTGCACATCAGACAGCTGGAATGGAATTTTCTAGCAAGACCAGGCACCTCGTTCTCATTCGTCTAGTTCCTGTTGTTTGATGTGCCGTCTGAGCTTCTGGTCCAAGACCAGGGCTTCCAAAACCGCGCGAGCGGACGCAAAAAAGCTTAACACGCGCCTGCGACGCGCTTTCAGTCCAGAGACCTGTGCTTGCAGACGGGCCATATTTTCTGATGCTGGGGCAGCGTTGTGCAGGGCAACGGCTGAGGGCCCTCAGTCCTTGTTTCTTCTTGCGGAATTCGAAGCGCGGTCCAGGCCGAGACGTGAATAGCTATAGTGGACAATATCTCCCCCAGAACCCCAGAGTTCTACTGGAGTTACTGCAGCGTGATTTCGCGTCTTTGCCAGCTGAGGTTGTGCTAAACACAGCCGGAGATCCAGGCGCCCCGCAAAAGGGGGGCTTTCCCGAGGTTTTCAGGGCTTGGGCTTGGGCTTTGGGCTGGAAGTCAGATCTTCGAAGCCCATCAAGGCCTGGCAGCTTGGGCCCACACTGCTGCAGCGGCCCTGGAGGCGATCTCCGAGGTGCCGCCTTCTCTCAACTTCTCTATTTTAAGAACCTTGGGAGTAAAAAAATTGCGAGACCCCTCTCCTCAACTCCCTCGCCTCCCCCCCCGAAACCTTGCACGCTTCCTTCGGTGTAGGTGCCGTCGACTCCCTTAGCTCTGGAAGACGTCGAAGGGGGAAGCGAGTACTGGACTCAGGATTCTTGAGGAACTCGCGAAAAGCCTAGGCCTAGGCATGGAGATCCACGGAGCTTCACGGAGCTTTTGAGGGGATTCGGCAATTCGGCCGGTTTGAGGATCAGCTGTCGGGGCCTAGTCGTGTTGGGTAGCGTGTCGGCATCTTCACTCTGAGCCATACGATGATTTCCCAGTAAAATAAGGGGTACAAGAGGAACATCCCCGCATGTCTAGTGAAGTTGTGCCACGTGACTCGTTTCATCTTGTGAGACTTGAATGTGATGCAAAGTACCTAAAGCACCTTAAAGCACAAAGCACAAAAAAAATAAAGATACGAAAGCACCTCAAGTCTAGTCACAAGAAGCTGTCAAATGTCCTGTCAACACACTTTGACGCTTAGTACAGCATCATCACTAAGGTGCTTCAGGGAGTTGGAGACGGCTGAGGCTTCTGAGGGCAGCTCCCAGAAGCCCGGACTGTTGGCGACTTCGCCCTGTGGGCCTTCGCTTGTGTAGCTACATGCCGCCGGGTCACCGTGTCGCATCATGCAGGGTGGCTATGGAGGTATATGGAGGTTGCCTTTTCATTTCTGAGTACTATTGACGTTCTTGTATGTGGGTGCTCTTGGTCGGCCTCTGCTGCATGAGGGCTTCGGAATGAAGAAACCTCTAGCACGCCAGACACTGTGGATTGCTCACAGGGCCTGAAACTGAAATAGAGAAGCGACTCGACCGCAACAGTCTGTCTGTGGTTCCGATGCCCAGGTTGCTGGTTTGGGATGTTTGAGTTTCTTTCTCTTCATTTGCCTCAAACAAAGCCTGTTGCCGGTGGGCCTCGCTTCGGCGGCAAGGCGGTGCGAAGACGGGGTGTGCGGCCTGCCGTGCGGAAGAGCTCAAAAAGGTGGAGGTCCAGCCGTGTAGCTGTCTTTCTGTCAGACTCATGGAGGTTTGCTTCTCAGGCCGTTGAAATTCTCGTTTTTTAGCTTGGCTCCGTTCCTCCAAGCCCTGTCTGTGATCAGGGGCCCTGATATGCAACGCCGAGCATTGAGAATGCATGACTTGTTGACGCAGCCAAATCAAGCGAGCCTCCTACCAAAGAGTAGCGAGCCGCATGTGCATGAAGGCTTCTCTCATGGGTCGTGAGATGTTGTGAGAGGCCATGGGACCCATGTATGCTGGGGCAGTAATCGTCCACGCGTACGACATGAAAGGGAAGCCAGGGCATAGCTCCGCCATCATGATCACAGCAAAGCTTGGCAGCACGTCGTTCAATCCTTGGGGCAGCCGCCATGACGGCTGTGGTGCCTGTGGCCACCGTTGTGCCACGCCCCCACCTGCACGAAGGCCGGTGGCATGGTGTTTAGGCATGCAGCCATGAGAGGAAAAGGCAACCTATCTATCCAATTCGGAAAGCAGTCAAAGCCCCAGACGCTCTGTCGATTTAGGCGCTGAGCATGTAGGCGGTGGGTGCCCTGAAGATCCCTGAGCTTAGCGGGCGTGGGGGGCGCAGGGACTCTTGGCTTTTTCTTTTTTTCACCTTGCAGGCGAAGCTCATGCCTTTTTCCGAGTTGGGGAGCAGGCCTGGACCTGGCCCAAATCTTGTGAAGCTTTGATCAATACACGGCTATCATCTCTCTTGAAAGGAGTCATTGCTCCATCGGTTTCTTGCAAAACGTACAATTCCGACCGTGTAATCGCTGTTTGTCATGCCGAACACTCTGTGGTTTTGCGCTGGCAGCTGGGGTGCTAGAATGGCAGCTTAACAAGGAATGCAGGGCTGCCGTTGGG